GGATTTAATTCAATTTAGCAAGTCCTTTTGAAATCCTAGGACATACATAGCACCCTCATAAGCATGAAGTCATTGCACAATGTGGGCATTGTACTGTGAAGACATGGCTTGCCCTCAGGAAACTGATATATCATGACAAAGCAGCAAAGCCTCCTCTTCCAGGCCAGGGACCTTATTCTATTCTCTGATCCACAAAGTATCTAGTGCAGTGGGACCTGCATTATTATACTCACCCAGTAAATAAGCTGCCTACATGAGGTGTACCGTGAGTGTTATAGTAGGGAGACATCTGTGTGGGTAGAAGTGGAGGAGGTGGGATTTGAATCCAGCCCTGAAGTGTGAGGAGGAGGTGTTAGAAAAGTAGAGAGGAGTGGAGTTGGCATTACACGTGGCAGAAACTATGGCTACGGCTCAGAGCATGACTGGCATGGCAATCAGGACATAGTAGGGGATAAACAGGGAAACTGATTGGTAAGAAACCTCGAGTGACATACAGGGGAATTAAGGTTTAATTCTACTGGCGGTAAGGAAACAGTGCAAATTTTTTATCAGAGGAGCATTATGTTTAAGAACATTAATCAGACGATGTGAGGATGATAGGACAGGCAAGAGGCTGGACCATTTTGAAGGAAGTCACTGGTGATTTACGGAAGAAGTGGGAATAGACTGTCATCAGGGCATAATAGTCCCCCTGGAAAAATAACTCCAAACATTACGATCTACTTCAGTTATTTTTTTCTGTGCTATAAATGAAATGACTGTTATAACGCATCCAAGGTCTGAGCCACGGAGAAAGTTGCCTGATACTCACTGACGTTTTGCTTCGTGAACTTCCTCCACTTACTTTTCTATCTGGTTGTTACTGTGGCAACTTTGAAGCCCTGTGGGATTTTCTCAGTATTCCATGAATTAGAGACGAACCTACATATGTGTTCAGGCAGCCCCTTACCTCTTGGCCCAAAAATGTTAGTAATTCTTCAAGTACGAAGGCTCTGCCATTCCTTGTCCAGGATTTCTTGGGAGGCATGAGGAATAATCACTTCATTGTAATATATAGTACCTTTACTCTGGCCAGAATGAGAAGATATTCTAATTTCTCAACTCCGTGTGTGTGTGTGTGTGTGTGTGTGTGTGTGTGTGTGTGTGTACTTCTATTCTCTAGGCTTCAGCATTCCTTTCAGGGAATCTTGCTCCCCTAGGCAAAGGGCAGCAGGAAGGCAGACTGAGAAAATTCTCATAGTACTGTCCACAGCTACCGGGCCAGGTTCCCATCAGTGGCAGCTACAACAGCCATGGTTCCACATTTAAAGTGTCTGTTTCCTCAGAAACAGAAGGAAGTAGAGATTCAGGAATCCTGTCAGATAGCAGGCTTGAGAGAGAGGGGAAAAGTGCTTAGGGGACTGGGGAAGAGAGAATTTCCTGGTCATTCCTGAATGGCATTCAGTGTCTTAGAGAAAGCTGCTCCATCGCTCCTGTAGGCATACCAAGACTGCCAGTGTCTTTTAGCGACTCCTCTGAGTGATTTGACACACTCCTGGTCTCCAGTCTCGTGGAAGGCTGCAAAGTGCTCGAGCCTGAGCCTGAGCCTGAGCCACCCTCCAGCCCCCACCCAGTTCCTCAAGAGTCTTAACCCCATCTGCATGTCATAACACAATCCTTTTGTCAGGGCCATGAGAAGCTGTCCCATGTGGATAATGTATGATAGTACTTGATTTGCTACAAGTAGCTTCTTGATTTCTGAGTCATTCTCATCAAATATTTTGGCATTTTGAAGTCATACATTCAGTGCTGACTCTTTGTGATTTGTCTCTGGGCCCTCCACTCAAAAAGAATGGACATGAAAGTATCTATGGAATATCCATGGGTATTCTTGAGACCTTGGTTGCCTTTTTATGGCTCAGCTGTCACACTGGTCAGAATTTGGAGCATAAATGTTGTGGTGTTCCAGTTCTTTCTTTTTCTGGTGTTTCTAATTGTGTAACTAAGAGCATCAAGTCAGAAGGAAAGGATAAAATGGGTAAGGGGCTAGATAAGCTCATTAGAGAGGCAGTACAACAGGTTTGGAGTTAGAGACCTGAGCTGGGCCTTACTAGCCAAGGACCTTTGAGCAACTTATTCTAAGCCTCTATTTCTGCCTTTACAAAATTTAGATATTATCAGTTGTGTTTCTATATACCAGCAATAAACAATCTTAAAAAGGAAATTAACATTTCACTCACAAAGTATCTAAGAGAATCAAACACTTAGGAATAAGTCTAACCAAGGAGGTGAAAGACTTGTACACTGAAAACTACAAAACCATTGCTGAAAAAAATTGTAAAATATCTAAATAAATTGAAAGGTAGTCTCTATTCATGCGTGGAAGACTTAACATTGTTAAGATGTCAATACAATCAGAAGTGATCTGTAGATTCAACACAATCCCTATCAAAATTCCAATAGTCCAAGGGGCCGGCTGAGTGGCTCAGTTGGTTAAGAGCTCGCTCAAGAGTGTGAGCTCTGAGCAACAGCGGTTCGAGTCAGCCCGAGCTGAGCAGCCGTGAGCTGCCAACAGGTGGCGGGATGGCTCAGCTAAAAAAAAAAAAAAATTCCAATAGTCTTTTTCATAGAAATGGAAAAGCTGATCCTCCAGTACATATAAAATTGCAAGGGGCCCTAAATAGCCAAAACAATCTTGAAAAGATTTAATAAAATTGGAGGACTTACACGTCTCAATTTTGAAACTTACTACTACAAAGCTGCAGTAATTAAAACACTGTGGTACTGGCATAAGGACAGACAGATAAGCCAATAGAATAGGATGGAAAGCCTAAAAATTAACCCTCACATATATGACCAATTAGTTTTTTACAAGGGTACTAACTTCATTTAGTGGCAACAGTCTTTTCAACAAATAGTGATAGGAAAACTAGATATTTATACGCAAGAGAATGAAGTTGTACCCCTACCTTACACAATATACAAAAACTAACTGAAAATGGATCAAAGACCTAAGTTTAAGAGCTAAAATTATAAAACTCTGAGAAGAAACCATTGGGGAAAATATGCATGACATTGGATTTGTCAATGATTTCATGGATATGACACCCAAAAGCACAGGCAATAAAAGAAAATATAGATAAATTGGACTTCATCAAAATTAAGAACTTTAGAGCAGGGGGCTGGCCAAGTGGCTCAGTTGGTTAAGAGTTGGCTTAAGAGTGTGAGCTCTGAGCAACAGGGTCACCAGTTCGATTCCCACATGGGCCAGTGACACTGTGCCCAAGCTGAGCTGTCACTGAGCTCCCAACAGGTGGCAGGATGGCTCAGCTGGTGTAACAACAAGATTGCCTGTTCTATGGTGGGCTATGCCCACCCGCAACTAAGACTGAACACAGCACCTCGAGCTTAGAGGCCACAAGCTGCCGACGGGAAGCCAGATGGTGATTGGCGCCCTCCACAAACGAAGACTGAAGAACAACAACTTGGCTGGTCCCCTCCCCCAATTCCCCAATACAATCTTTTTTTTTTTTTTAAAGAACTTTAGTGCAGGAAAAGATACTATCATGAAGCAAAAAGACAACCTATAGAATGGGAGAAAATATTTGCAAATCATGTATCTGATAAGAGATTACTATCCAGAATATATAAAGAACTCTTAAAACTCAACAACAAAAAAACAAACAACCCAATTTAAAAAAAGGCAAAGACTTGAATAGACATTTCTCCAAAGAAGCTTTATAAATAGGCAATAAGCACGTGAAAAAATTCTCATTAATCAATAAGGAAATGCAAATCAAAACCATAATGAGATTTAACTTCACAACTACTAGGATGGCTATTTAA